TGTTCCGAAAACATTGTGGTCGTCCAGCCCGGAGGCGTGGACGTTGTTGACCACATGCCCACCCCTTAGAATGTACTGAAAACAAGCGACCTTCGCCCACCTCTTGGTCGATGTGTTCCACAAACGAAGGACTTTGGTCTTGTTTAGGGGAATCATCGTGTTATGAGCACGTAGAGTATGTAGTGTGGTTGAGTGCACCAAATGGAGCTTGTATGAAATCAGATTCGCAACGTGTTAATGACGCTGGTAGAGACATCTTCTTATAGAAATCGATCATTTTGATAACTCCCCATAAGAGGCTTACAATGATTGAACTGCTCGAATACATAAAAGAGTTTACACATAGTATTTTTTAAGATTAGCTACATTCCACGACCTAGCCAGCGACCTGCCTTCAGCGTACTTCAGAGAGTATGCTCCTCCTGCATGTACTTTTTCGACCAAGTACGGCCCTTCCCAATTGGGTTCTAACTTTCCCACATGCTTGAGCACATCTACTCTTTTCCACACCAGGTCTCCTACTTGAAACCGGCGGATCTTCACTTTCCGGTCCTGTGCCGCCCTCATCCTTTGCTTGTATGCCTCAACCCTGGTCGAGGCTTGTTCTCTGAGTTCTTCGATAGTGTCTAGGGCGGTCAGCATGTGTTCTTCATTTTGCTCTTGATCATAAGTGCTCGATCGCTGAGACTGCAGTTCTAATTCCACTGGTAGAAGCGCTTCCATCCCATATACCAGGCTAAATGGCGTTTCGCCAGTGGTCGACCTCGGAGTGGTCCTATACACCCAGAGCACAGATGTCAGCTCGTCGACCCATGCTCCTGAAGCTTTTTCCAGCCTTGTTTTAAGTCCGTTTAGGATGATCCTGTTGGTCACCTCTACCTGTCCGTTGGCCTGTGGATGTGCGACAGAAGCGAAGTGCTGCTCGATACCCATTTCCTCGCACCACGCTCTTATCCGCTTACCATTGAATTGCGTTCCATTATCAGATATCAGGATTTTAGGGACTCCAAACCGGCAGCAAATGTTATTATACAGGAACTGGACCACTTTTTCTTCCGTAATTTTGGCCAACGGTTCAGCTTCCACCCATTTCGTGAAGTAGTCGACCGCCACGATCAAAAATTTTCGTTGCCCTGTTGCTTGTGGCATTGGTCCTACTAGGTCGATGCCCCACTGTGCAAACGGAATAGGTGCGCTCATTGTAGTCATTGTCTCCGCTGGTTGGTGTATGAGCGGGCCGTGCTTCTGGCACTGCATACACCTCCTGGCCATTTCCTTAGCATCCGCTTTCATTGTCGGCCAGAAGTAGCCTGCTCTTAAGATCTTTGCAGTCATGGCCCCGGCTTTGCTATGATCGCCACAACATCCCTCGTGCACTTCTCGTAGAACGTACCGACCCTCCTCTTTGGATACACATCTCAAATGCGGACCTGCATATGATCGTTTGTAGAGGACCCCACCTTGCTCGAAGAACCTCCTCACCACCTTTGTGGTCCCTTCCCGTAACTCCTTCAGGATTGGGGCCCTCCAGTCTTCTACCTCCTCGATCTCCGCCACCTCGACTTCCGTCGCGCTCCTCTCCATGTGAAGTAGAGTCACACTCCTACTCTTACAATCGACCAAGCTTTGTGCGATTTTAGACAGTAAATCCGCCCGACCATTCTCTCCTCGGGGTATCTGTATTAATTCTAACGTCCCAAATTCTTCCTTCAACTTTTTTATGTTATCCACATGACGTTGCAGCCGATCTTCTTTGATCTCGAAACCTTCTTGGAATTGACCGACCACCAACTGCGAGTCAGAATGGACCTGGATTCTTCGAGCACCTCCGGCCAGAGCCAATTGTAATCTCTTTGTCACCGCTTCATATTCTGCCTCGTTGTTTGATACTCGAAACCCCATCTTGATAGCGAACTCTAAATAATCCCCTTTGGGTGAAATCAAGACTATTCCCAAGCCAGCCCCGCTCCTCGATACCGAACCATCTGCGAATAACTGCCACATTCCTCCGCCATCTTCCTCCTCCTTTGTTCCTTCCTGTATGAAATCGGCCAACACCTGCCCTTTGATCGCCTTTCTTGGTTCATATTTTATAGAGTACTCGCTCAGCTCGACCGCCCACTTTACTAGTCGACCAGACACTGCTGGTCGACCTAAAGTCTGCTCCAACGGCATGTTTGTGCGCACCTTGACTTTGTGGTTCAGGAAGTATGGCCTCAGCTTCCGAACTGTCACGACCACCGCCAGCGCACATTTCTCAATTTCCGAGTACCTCAACTCTGCTCCTTGCATTACCCGACTGACATAATAAATTGGGAATTGTGCCACTCCTTCTTCTCGTAATAATACTGAGCTTACAGCACTCTCGCCCACCGATATGTAGAGCACGAGCTCCTCTCCGTGAATTGGCTTGGCTAATAAGGGCAAGTTAGCCAGCGTCCTCTGCAGCTCCTCGAAGGCTTTTTGGGCTTCCTCTGTCCACTGAAATTTCGAGCTCTTCTTCAGGGTTTTGAACAAAGGGCTGCTCTTTTCGGCCACCTTGGAAATGAATCTGCTTAAGCCCGCTATCCGACCAGTTAGTATTACGACCTCCTTCACATTAGCCGGTGGCTTCATTTCGATCACCGCTTTTACTTTTTCAGGATTCACCTCTATCCCTCGCTTTGTCACCATGTACCCCAAGAACTTTCCCAACTTTACCCCGAACGAGCACTTAGCCGGGTTGAGCTTCATGCCAAACCTCCTTAATGTCTGGAAGGTCTCCCTCAGGTCAGCCGCGTGGTCGTCCTCCTTCTTGCTTTTTACCAGCATGTCGTCGACATACACCTCCATATTCCTTCCCAACTGGTCTTTGAAAATTTGGTCGACGAGACGTTGGTAGGTGGCCCCGGCATTCTTTAGTCCGAATGGCATGACTACATAGCAATAAGTGCCCTTGCTTGTTATGAAACTCACCCTCTTCCAGTCTTCCTTTGCTAAGGGGATCTGGTGATATCCCTGAGAGGCGTCCATCAGGCTAAGCAACTCGCATCCTGCCGTGGAGTCCACCAGCTGGTCGATCCTTGGCAGCGGGTAAAGATCTTTCGGGCAAGCCTTGTTTAGATCACGGAAATCGATGCACATCCTCCACTTCCCTCCTGATTTGGACACCATGACTGTATTGGATAACCACTCGGGGAACTGAATCTTTTTAACGTGTCCAGCGTTCAACAGCTTGTCGACCTCCTGCTCGATGATTTTGTCCATCTCCACACCATGATGCCTTCTCTTTTGCTTCACCGGTTTGACACTAAGATCAATGTTAAGTCTGTGCTCAATCACCCTGGCCTCGATCCCTGTCAGCTCGTCCGTTGTATACGCAAAGATGTCCGTAAATTCCCTTATTAAATTGATCAACTTTGACCTGACCGGCTCCCCCAAATCTTTTCCGATTCTGAATTTTCGGTCATCGCATCCCTGCACCATTTGAACTTCCTCAATCTCCTCTCCGGGCTGTATATCTATCTTCTCCTTCCCCTTATCTTGTCCTCCTTTCTCCTCTTTCGACCGTGATCCTTCTGGCCGATCGGGCCTCGCCTCTTTACCTTTGAACTGCCTCTCCGCCATCTGCTTGTTGTTACTGACTGTGGTCTGGTAGCAACTCCTCGACGTGAGTTGGTCCCCTGCAACCTCGCCTACATTTTCCCCCACAGGATACTTGATCGTCATGTGGTAGGTAGACACGACTGCTTGGAACGCGTTTAAACCTGTCCGTCCTAGAATGATATTATAAGACGATTCTGCTCCGACCACCACAAACCGGATCATTCTCACTTTCCTCGAGTCACCTGACCCCAATGCTACGGTCAGGCTCACTTCTCCCATTGGCATTACCTCCCCACCGTTAAACCCGTATAAGGCCGTCACCACCGGTTTTAATTCCAGATTCAAGTGCTTGTTGATCTGCGCGAAACAATCGTAGAACATCACGTCGACCGAACTCCCCGTGTCGATGAACACTCTTTTTACATCGAACCCTGCCACTTCGGCCATGATGACCAGTGCGTCATTGTGGGGTAACAAGACTCCTTCCGCATCTTCTGCTCGAAAACTTATCACTGGCATCCGACCAGTTATCCCAACTTCCTCTCTTTTACGCTTCACCGCCCGCACGTGCCCCTTTCGTGCATTATTTGAATCCCCATCCGTTGGTCCTCCCGAGATCATGTAGATCGTGCCCCTTTTCATAGGCACCTCCTCCCTCAACTCCCCTCGATCATCATTCTGCCGTCTCTTTCTTTCTCTCCTGGCATCGTCCTCTCCATCATCGTCTCTATCACTCCTTGCCACAGAATTTTCCCTGCATCTCCTCCTTTCTTTACCTCTTGGTCGATCGCGAATGATAAATTCTTTCAAGTGCCCCGCCCGTATGAGACGCTCGATCTCGTCTTTCAAGTGTCTACAATCGTCTGTATTATGCCCGTAGTCCCTATGAAATCTGCAGTATTTATTCGACCTAGGTTTGGTCGGTCCCTCGAACCTGGTCGATGGCCATGTGACTTCCTTGCTTTCCATCTTCTCCTCTATGGCCGCTAAGACTTCGCCCATCTGGGCGTTGATGGGGGTAAAATGATTATATCTCTGACCGCTTGGTAGCCGAGGTCGTCCCTGCCAGCGATCTTCTCGCCTCTCTCGGAACGAGTTTTGCCCACTCCTCCTGGGCGACGACCTCTTAAAAGATCCTCCTTTGGGAGAATTTTTCCTAGGCGATCCCCTTCTGGGCGAACCTGTTTTTCCCTTCTTCTGCTCGGGCTTCACAACGTCCTCGAGCTTGGCGAATTCTGCTTCCGTTTCTTCCAAGTTAATGTATTTCTTGCATATTTTGAGTACCTCATCGTAAGTTCGAGCAAGCGTCTTTGCCAGCGACGTTCGACATGGTCCTGGCCTTAGACTTCTAATCAATCCTCCTGCTTTCACTTCATCACCCGCCGTGGGCACCTCCAGACACACCTGGTTATATCGAGAAACATATTTCTGTAAGGATTCTTTCTCGCCTTGCCTCATTGCCATCAGGGTGAGGTATGTCTTCTCATGGGCGACCGCGCTTGAGTATTGATTAGTGAGTTGTCCTGCGAAGTCCTCAAAGTCTCTGATCGAACCTGGAGCCAGTTGGTGGAACCAGTCAAGCGCACCTCCTCGTAAAGTCGACAGGAAGGCCCTGCAGCTGACCGGATCTGAGTATCCATGTAAGACGGACATGTTTTCGAATGCTCTCACGTGCCTCGACGGGTCACTCGATCCATCGAAAATCAGGTTTATCTCCCGAAAACTTGCAGGTAGCGGCGCAACTAGAATTTCCCTCGAGAATGGGTGTCCTCGAGCACGTCTTTCTGGCCTCCCTTCCACCTTCTCCTGCAATTGCCTCAGCTGTTCGGCCATCCTCTCCATAGCTCTATCCCTGTACTCCCCTCCTCCGCCATAGCTCGACACATCTTCCTCTTGTGTTCCTTGCACCGTTGTCGGTGCAGTGGCAGCCTGGGATGTCTGGTGAGTAGCTTGTTGCACAGCCTGTGCCGCCGCGTCGGCCACCATCCTCTGCACTTCTTCTCTTGTCATGGCCACCATTTGTTGAGCAGGGGGTTGTGGTGCTCCTCCCGTTGGCGGCACCATGGTTTGCGTTATCTGCCTGCCTGCTGCGTCGCGACTGGGCCCGCTTGTAACGGGGCGGGGACTGCCGTAGGTACCGCTTCATGAGCCTCGTGCTCTCTGCTCGTACCTGCTCCTCCTCCCAAGATCGCTGTACCCTGGGGCATCGGCGTCGGGGTCACCGGTGTTTGCGAGGGTCCAGAGAATCCAGGTGGAGGTCCTGCTCCCATCGGTCTTGTCGTCGTCCACACCTCGTCAAATGAAGACTGCAAATTCACTCGAGGAACTCCGTCCGCCATAGCTGAGCTCAGAACACAACTTTTCGAACAAAGTCCCACAGACGGCGCCAATAATACAAGTCTCGCACCCTGCCCGGCTGGAATTCGCCTTGAGCTTGCTCTTCTCGCCGGTTGGACGCGGAACCTGCACGAAACTCCCACACCGGAGGTGTTTTCCGGTGAAGAGCCTCCAACGATCAAGTCAGATCTTGAGAGATAATATCAGTCTATAGAAAGGTGTAAAGTATATCCGATTGTCCCGAAAATGTGGATTCTCGCCCTTATTTATAAGGGCGAGTTACCTGTACTGCACGCGCGAGGCGAGTGCGTTCGTCTGACCATCCTCTGCTGGTCCGTACGGTCGCGCGCCCCCACTATCTATGATGTCAGAGAATGCGTCGCCTTTGTCAGAGAATATCAGAGTCGGTTACGGCTGTTGACCACTCACAATGCGCCGCGTGTCCTTCTCCTCATGTGCTGGAGATTCCCCCATGTGCTCCGATGCTCTACCAGTTATGTGTGTCTGTCTTCTCGATCGCCCTTTCTCGACCAGGTGCTCAGCTGACTTGTGTCTGTCGACCACCTCTGCTCCTCTTTATCACCGTCATCTGCTCGATGTTCTAATGGCCAGTGCTTGGTCCTGCTCGACTATACCATTCGACCTTATCTTTACTAGACCGTCTCACAAATCGGTCGGTCTCCTTTGATTAGCCCTATAAATCGGTCGGTCGGTCTTCTCGAAATTCTTTGTAAGGTGGGTAGACTGTAACGCCCCGTTCGTTTATGAATAAATTGGATTTTATTATTATTATTAATATTATTATTATTATTATAATTATTATTATTATTATTATTATTATTATTATTATTATTATTATTATTATTATTGCCATTAATATTAATTGTTATTTGTTTAATTGCCTAAATGAACTTATGTGCCTAATTGTGTATATTAAATAAATACTAATTGTGGTGATTTTATTATAATTATTAAATGCTATTTTGAATATTATTTATTTTAATTTAATTTAATCTTCAAACCGGACTTCGGGTTAAGCCGAGCCACGCCCGTGGCCACGCCAAGACCTAGCCGCCGCCCCTCCCTCTCTTCTTCTTGTTTGTTTGGTAAGTGAATCAATTTGGAGCCTTTCCTTTTTCCCTCTGTGTGATGTTTATGGTAAGTGCTTAATCTTGGAGACTTACCATACCTTAGGGAGCCTATATGAGGAAGAGATTGACCCCCCCTTTTCGTCCTAATATATTTTTCCCCAAGCAGCCGCCCCCTCTCATCTCTCATCCCTCTCATCTCTCTCGCCCTCTCTCCTTCTTTTATATTTTTTTTTCCGATCGTGATCACTGCCACCCTCCGTCGCTGTGCACCATCGTCTTTCACTCGTCATCACCGCGTGCACTATCGCCGTCCCGGGCCAGCACCATTGCCATCACCCGTTCGTGAGTCGCGGATTGTGCATCCCTTGGCGTCCAGCGTCCCTCGCGAGGCCAGCATGCATGCCCAGCGTCTCCGCGAAGCCCGCCAGTGCCCAGTAGACGTCCGCAGGCCTTTCCCCGCGTGCCCGCGACCATCCTTAGCCCCGTTCGAACCTCCTTCCGTGCAATTTCCCCGAGGACGGTACAAGGCTGATAATCCTTTATTATTTTCAGTATATATGTGCTATGTGATGAGCCTTGTTGGGAAATTTCATGTTAGGGTTTGATAAGTGGCTATTTAATCTCGTGATTTATTCGTTAATTGTATTCGAATGTGAATTTCGCTTAAATCGTGATTAGGGTTGTGGATTGTCGGACCATTTGAAGTCCTTGGCCTCATGGTTCAGGCCTTGGACATTTTAGATGATTATGTGGTCATTGATGTGTTGTTGAATCGGGTATTGCTGCTGATTCTTAGAAAAATCATTGTTAATTATGTGCTCGTCCGATTGCTGCAATCTTTGAACTGTAGAGTCCTCTATTGGTATATTATGTGCTGTAAAGATTTCATGCCGAAATGAGACCTGTAGCTATGTCAAACGTGGATTTGAAATTCTGGGCAGAAACTTTGAAAAATCATTAAAAATCATATTCTTGGAATTTTGCCGTAATCTTTGGTGAGTGTTAGTAATATTATGATATGTGTGTTTTGTCCAAATTTCGTTGAAAAATTCAAAGGATTGCTTGGTGAACTAGAAAATTTAGATTTTCATCGCCTTTTCGTAAAAATTGGTTGTTTATGTTAAACTGATGAGTTGAGTCTGAAACCTTGTAAAAACGTGCCTTTTGGGTCTATTTTAATGTGTTAAATATTTAAGTAAATCGGTCGAGTAAATTTTGAAATCGGTCGGTCCTATTTGAAACCCTGCTTGTCTGTCGGGCCCTGTGCACTGCTGCCAGCGCACGCCAGCGCCCGCCGGCGCACG